AGGGTACATACAACCTCCATGGAAGTGTGCAGCAATCTAGCAAGTATGAAAAGGTAGCCTCATATGTGGCAGTCGCAAAGCTGCTCCTATGAACCTGCAGAAATATCTAAGCAGTTTGTGCCTTTGTTCAAATAGTCTCATGAATTTTTGAAGACAGTGGCTTATATGACCTACACAGACCCTGTTTGTATGATCAGTTCCATTTGCTCATTTCATTCTTGCACATCTAGGCATTTATAGGTCAACGTAATAAAGAGAGAAAATTTAATAATATATGTGTTTTTATCCAGATGAGTGGCTCACTTTGCGTTTCTATTTCTCATGTGAACTGCACTTTGACTTTTAATGTGCAGTTACATTACTCGGCACTGAATTTAATGTATAATGTAGCCTCTTTCCTTCACCTTCCCCCAACCCACCGCCAACAAGAAAAATACGCAGTATAAAGTATAACTAACCCAGTATGCTTTGTGCGTTTTCATTAAATGCTTATTAAGAGAGAATGCAATGTTTGAAGAGGATTGCTATTAACTTCCCACAAAGCTAGTATTTGTAGGAATGTTCAGAATTTAATTACATGAGATTTTCAATGATAAAATGTTACTGGAAGCAAGATACTAAATTTCTTTGAACACTGACCATTCTCTCCAAAAGGATTGGCAACTATCTTTATTGTTAGTTTTTTTAATCAATATTTTAAAAAGACATATGAAAACTAGCACCACAACTCAATATCTCTGTCCCCACTGCAAACTTTCTATTCATGTATGTCTTTTATTATTATCATTTTATTTTATTTTTTGTATATGCAAGGAATTGCTTCTTCATTTAAAGGAACACTGCCTTGACTGGGAACTCTACATAGGGGTTACAGCTTTGCTTGTCTTGTGACATCCTAGATTTCAGCTATAATTTATAAGCAGTTTGCCTCCTTTGGAAATGAAATCTGTTGAACTTGGGATAAATATATTTATTTTATTTTGATCTGTTTTTTTAAAGTAGTAGCCTACACTGGAAATAGAAAAATTCTAACAAAGTAAAACAAATGAGCAGTACAATTAAAAGATTTGCAAATAACAATCAGCTATTTGTACCAAAAACTCAAGAACTGAAACTAGAAAGCAACAGTGAAAAGGGGAAAAACAGGATCCAAGACTTGGCAGGTTTCCCCAATAGCTTTCTGGATTAACCATGTTCTGATGAGTTGTGGAAAGTAAGAAAATGGAACAGTGTGGGCTTTCTTGGAGCAGGCATGTGCTACTGCCACAGTGCCATTCCTTTTACTTATGAACTTCCAATGGTAGGAAGATGAAATTCAGAACCTAAAATGTCAACTGCCACACAAAGGGGCCAGATGTGGAATCAGGCCATCTTACAGCTGCCTTTTAGGACTACTTAGGCCAACAGATGTAAATCACAAGTAACTAATGTGATGTGTCTGGTCAACACCCAGATAAAGGTCCCGAAATGGCATTTTGTACCAATTAAATGCTGTATAATATTTATGTGTCATATATATGGTCTCTTTCCCATAGTACTAAATAGAGCTAGCTCTGTTCTTGTGTGGTTCAAGAATTACTTTGAAAGTTTTTCAGAGATAGTTTTATGCTTAGTGTTTCATGAAAGCACAGTGAGTTGTCAATATCTTCATATTTTTCTGTGATAGGAGTTAGGGAAGATTTAAAACTTAGGATTTATTTTAAAATGTATGGATTTTTTTCCTGCTTTGACAAATGCACAGAGAGGTGTTTAAAGGATAAAAAAGCACTGTATAAATATAGAAAACACACAATTGCACACTACAATAGAGAGCAGCAAACAGTAGAATTTAAAGCTATAAGGATATTATTTGTTCAGCTGTAACACACTAAGATGACACTGTAAGTATAGGGGAGGAAGCAGAAAAAAATAGGGAAAGGGATAAGAGAAGCAGAGATTAGAAATAAAAGGCTGGGGAAAAGATTTTTGTTTTCACCCCATTTAAACATTGCAAAGGGGTTGTCAGAATTGGGATGAATTGTTTTTAAGACTACAATTCCCAGAATACACCAGTCAGCATGGTCTCTAGTTGCTGATGGGATAAGCCTCCTTGGCCGCTTCTGTTCTATTTTCTCTTCAGGGGCACACAGATTTTCAAGGAGTTCCTAGTAAGGTAGAGGAAGCAGTTGAATCGTCTCAGGCGGAGTCAAAAGATACTCAAGCTGTATGCCTTGTATACTCTCTCTAGAGTCTGTGTGGCTGTAGGCCATGCCCTCCACAATCCCATCTCAGCTTTATGTGTTGCGCACAAAGGAGTGTTCAGCTAAATTTACCTATAACTTTCATGTAAGAAGAGCCTCGTGGCGCAGTGGTTAAACTGCTGTACTGCAGCCAAAACTGTGCTCACAACCTGGGGTTCAATCCCAGGTAGCCGGCTCAAGGTTGACTCAGGCTTCTATCCTTCCGAGGTCAGTAAAATGAGTACCCAGCTCGCTGGGGGGGGGCAATGGGGGGGGGCAATGTGTAGCCTGCATAATTAACTTGCAAACTACCCAGAGAGTGCTTGAAGCACTATGGAGCGGTATATAAGCAGCACGCTTTGCTTTGCTTTGCTTTGCTTGAATTTACGGAGCTTGCCTTTTCAGGGCTCCCAATCTTAGAAGCACTGTGTGTTCAGCTGACTGCACTTGCAGGTTCTTTTGCAGGTTCTTTGCATATTTAATTTTGCAGATTCAATTTAATCTTGATGCCTTCCTTGAGATATTTAGTACCTGGGACTTAGATAACCTTCCATATCCCAACACCCATTTAACTTTCTATGGTTACCTGCATAATGCTAGAAATAGAAGACTTCCATGACAAAAATCTTTTTTAAAAAAGTGGTACATCATTTCCATTCAAAGCATGGTTTGGCAAAGGGTTTTGCTATCCACTCACTCATGTTTGGGATCCTTTTCTATCTTGCTCTCTTGCAACATCCTATTGTTTCTTTTTCTCTAACTAAAGCCTGACACGATATTGGAAAAATACAGACCATTGGCAAAGTATGGTTGGTGCTTATTTTGTTTTGTTTTGTTTTTTGAATTTACAGTATGTAAACCAAGATTTCAGACAATGACTTGAGAAAACACACTGCCAAAATCTTCAGATTTTGGATGTCTTTGCAAAGTAGGAGAAAATGAGAAAGTGGGGGGAGGGGGACTAATAAGTTCACAACATGTTCTCAATTCTCCAAACCATGACATGGAGAGCAAATGTTAGACTTGTTAGAACTTGCTAGAGCAAATGAGAGTTTGAAATGTTAGAACTTGTTAGAGCAAATGAGAGTTTCCCATGTCAAATTGTGTTAGTTAGCTGTTCTGAAATAGTAGGGTCATGTAAAACAACAAACCTTGTTCATTTAGATATTGAGTCATGTCACAGGGGGTACCTCAAAGTTTTTTTTTCTGTTGCCAGGGAATGATGGAGGTTCCCATGATGCATGCTGAAGTAGGCTTAGGAAGTTTTTGTAAAATTAATAATTTAAAAGTAACTGAAGTTCATGAATCTGTTAATGGATTACAAAAAGCTGCATTTCAATGAGAAAACAAAATGAGGGTTTCAGGAAATACAGGGACGTTGAAATGGTGGAATTGGTAATAAGATCATAAAACCCATCCTCCTGGATCATACCAAACACCCATCTAACTAAGCATCCTATTTCCAAAGGTATCTGGGCATCAGAAGGTCACAATAAATCATAGGTTAAATCAGTTTTGACACTTGTGTATGCCACCAAACTTTCTTCCTGTTCCCTTCACTGTTCAAGCTTAGGAATCTCCTGAAAACTGGCTCCAAATATGGGCCATCCATCTGTAGTCAACTTTTCGGCTGCTGGGGGGCTACAATAGGGAGGGAACATTCCTCATCCTTCCTGCATACTGGATTCCACTGCTTTGCAGGCAGATAACTGGCAATGGAGGGAGCCACAGGTGAAATTTCTTCTCTGTTCTTCATAATGCTCCCAGATGTAGCTGTACTAGCATGCGTCCTACATCCACCAATACACACAGTTTACAAAAATGTACTCTGTGTAATTTCCTAATGAACACTGGCCTTTTTTGAGCACCTATGCTGTTTTCTCTCCCCCCACCCCCCAGACACTCTTCAGAGGAACTATGAAAATGAAATTTGAAAGTGACACATGTTATTTTTACTGTTACCTTCACCTAGTGTCTTCAGCACAGATTATCATATTGAGACTATGTGCAAATTATTTGTAAATGTGCAAATTGGGTTGTTTAATATATGCATAAACTTGGCAGATCTGCTTTGCTGTAATGGGAAGTATATTTTATGTATCCATTAATGTTGCACACTGCTAGCATCGCTGTTCAGGATCCAGAGGAACAAATGAATTATTTTGAAGTGATGTAGTGCTCACTTCTAGTTCTGCCTATTTTGTCTGGCTGATGTCCATTCAGTGACATTGTTTTAATCATGCAGTGCTGGACTGTCCACATGCATGTCTTACTGAACATATAGGATCTTAAGATATTTACAGGCGAAGCATACATATGTGGATATGTATATCAGGGAACTCTCAAAATGTAAATCCACTTTTTGTTGGTAAAAATGGTACTATTGCACTGTGCATGAACTTATGCACCTTGAAAGCTCCAAGGGACGCTTTAACTAGTGGTAATTTTGTCATGGCTGATAACGTCATTCCTGTTGCAGATACAGAGCTGTACTACAGAATTTCAGCCAAAGTTTCATGTGTATATTTCAGAGTTGTGATTTCTATGCTTCTACTGTATGATCTGCTAATAATGCCTTCATTTATGTTGGACGCACCCCCACTAGTGCTTCCAGAGTGGAAGGATAAGCTGTCAGGATGCTATCATTGCCAGGGGATGTCAAAAAAGTGTTCATCCTCACATTCTTTGGGAAAGCTTCCATATCTCCAGTCAATTACTTGGAAGCCTAAATGTCTCTCCCCCCTGTGATTTTAAAAATGAATAACTTTCCCTGTTTTTCAGGAGAGAAACCATTCAAATGTGATGAGTGTAACTTTGCCTCTACAACCCAGTCGCATCTGACACGGCACAAGCGTGTCCATACTGGAGAAAAACCCTACAGATGTCCTTGGTGTGACTACAGGTAATGGGATCAGTAGAGAGAATAAAGGATTGACAGAAGTTATGTGATGACTTTGTGAGATAACATTCAAATTAGCTAGTAGAAGATATTGGCATGAAATCGCCATCCATGCAGAGTAGAGTTAAAAATAAAGCAGAATACCTTTATTCCGTAAGTTCTGGAGGAGAGAGAAGTCTGGAAGCTTTTTGATGTGAAACACTGAAGTGCTAATGCTGTTTATTTCACAGATGCTCTGGTGTCTGTTAGAATCCTCTCTGGAGGGACTTCTGATCTGCATTGCCTGTTCAGATCAGCTGCAGTTTTGAAAGAATTTCTTGGTTGAGTTGCAGCCATGACACTAAAGAGGAAAGTCCCCTTAAGAATTAAATGGGTTTGTTGTCCATTAAGTATTTTAAATGGAAGCACCTGCCTGAAACTTTAGCAAAGCTGATTCTGGTTTATTTACTAGAGGTTTATTTATTTATACTTTTTCCTTCCGTTCTCTATAGTTGTATGGAGAATATGCCCCCACCCCGCTTCATTTAGGGAAAGGGATTGAATGGTAATGGTTTTGCTATTTTTCAAATGAAGTAGAGAAACACTCTGTGTCTTTTTGGGGTATTAGAGTTTATTTCCTGTGTGAAAATAAATGTAAATACCTGTGTGCTCCTGTTAATCTCATACTAATGTTTATATATTTGTATTATCTTATAAATTTCCCCAATGGTGACTGTTAGCAAGGCAGCTGGGTGGTGGTGGGTGGGAGGACAATACAAAGGAATGTGTTTTAGTTTAAATATTTTATCACAAAGACTTCATCCACTATCCCTGCCTACACCATGTTAAATCTGATGGTGGACCAGATTGTTTGTTAGAACTAGTGCTTGTTTACTTTACAGCCCCTGTAAAAATAGTTTACAGATCATTTAGTGGCCATCTCAGAATTCAGTTAATATTAAGTGAAAGCAAAGTCCACTCTATTGTATATATTTTGTACATGGCGATGAATTCTGTAATATCTTGCTGTAGGTATACAGCAAAGTACAACTTATTTTATGTCAATTACAGTGGTGCCCCGCATAACGAGGTTGTAGGTATACAGCAAGGTACAACTTATTTTAAGTCAATTATATGCATTTATTAAAAAGCTACCAATTCTACAGTAGCAGCATTATGCAGGTTGTTATCTGTTCACTAATTTGTTTTCATTTTGCTTTCATTTATTTCTGCTTTCTTCTGTTTTGCAAAATCAGAATGAAGGTAGCCGAGGCAGGGATTTTTAGAAAATATTCCACAGTAACAGACCAGAACCTTAAACAGCACCTGCAAATTGCATTAATTTTATAAATGTACCTTTCAAAAAATATGTCCCATATGAAGGATATCCTACAAGCCTAAGGATAAATTGTGTGCATTTATAATATAATTATGTAAACTAAAATAAAATATTTTACATTTATTATGCATAATAAACTAATTAAACAATGCTCAGTAAGGGATTATAGCCTCTGACATCAAATGTAGAAGGATTCATTGTGTGGATTCAGCAGCACCAGCATTCTGAATAAGGCAGAGTAACTCTGCCGAGAACCCTTTTCTCATTTTTGGACAGGTTCCCTAGGGAGATCATAGTTCCTTTTTATTTTGTATATGATCATAACTTGTAAAATAAGGACCCATTTATAATACACTCCAGTGTCTACAGCAAAGTAATTAGAATACAAGATGTAGATGTTCTTTTCAAACTAAATAATTTTTAAGAGACTTTGATATGTCAGCAAATGCAGTATTCCCTGTTGTTTCTTAGTTTGGCAAAGGTAATGCTGAAATTGCATAATTCTTTATAAGAAGTTTGCATATACACACACATGCACACACGCGCGTGCACACACACACAAATACTAATATTAACAATGGGAACTATCATATGAAATGGATGATGCAGAAGAGCTTGTGTTACAATTCTTTCACTATTTAACACATGGTGACAGATTTGTCACTATCTCATATTTACAAAAGATTGTATGATTATCCATCACTAACTCTTTAAAGTACATTGTAGGATTGTCTTCAGGCAGTAAGTTTCACAATTCTTTGTGTCTAGGAGCCACATTTAGCTAATAGCTACAGATTGGCCATATTCGGAACCCTACCAGCAAAGTAGACATGACAGCAAAAATAGAAGCCTAAGAAATGTGATAAAGTCTTACTTTAAAGAAATTGTGCTGAAAATTATAGTTGATACTTCCAAGTAGTGTGGTTGGGATCAGTAAATTAATATGTAGTTCTCTAGCTTGGTGTAATCATCTTTGGATCTCTCTGTTGAGAGAAATGCAGGATATAAATCAAATAAATATGTAAACAAATAAATATTCTTCTGTATCTATGAATGGGCTCATTGTAGAGAAACAGTGTTAACCTGTTTACCATATTTCTAGTTCATTACAGTAAAGTAGTTTTTGTCAACTTCTATGCCTGCTGGGTTTCCACCTTCTTCCACTACTCTTTCCTTCCTCCTCCTCAACTTTTCTCCTATTTTCCACCATTCTCTTCTCTTTCTGGTATTATTTTATGTCCAACCTTCTTCACAAGATATTAGGATGGCTAACATATTTTGTAAATATGTAACATTCCTGAGACTAGAGAGCCACTGCCACTCACATTGGCCTTTACTGAGCTAGATGGACAAACTGTGGTAGGTGAACACCATTTGCCCCTTTAAAAATGTGCATGCTCACCTCTAAGAGGTAACATATCTTCTATGCTGTTTTATAATTAAGTTTCTTTGGGGAAATCATGCATAGATTTGGGTGGATGGCTATCAATATGTAGATCACATATAACTCTACTTCTGTTAACCACCTCTGAATCCTAAGGAGACTGTAGAAATCTAGAATGGATGAGAGAGAAAAGGCTGAAATTTAATCCAGATAAGATGGAAGTTTTGTGGATCAATAAGCTTACTAATTGGGATAGAGATGTAAAAAGGTCGTGCATGAGGTTGCATTCTTTGAAGGAACAGTTACAAACCTTGGGCTCCAATGGTGTCTGAAAAAGCTCAACTCAAGTAATGACAGTTTCAAAGATAGTCTTCTATCAACTTGGGCTTGCACAACAGTTGCAGGCAGTTCTACCAGGAATGACTTAATTTGACTTCAGTTACCAATGCACTCCTTACATATAATGAGCTTTTCTTGTGGTTGTCATTGGGAATTTTCTTTGGTGGAAGATCAGACAAATGTTAATAGGAGTAGAAAGACTGACCGCCAAGCATCATTTAGGAGTCAGTTCCATTACCTACTGGGACGTGGTGGTGCTGTGGGCTAAACCGTAGAAGCCTGTGCTGCAGGGTCAGAAGACCAAGCAGTCAAAAGATCAAATCCACGCGACGGAGTGAGTGCCCATCGCTTGTCCCAGCTCCCACCAACCTAGCGGTTCGAAAGCATGCAAATGCAAGTAGATAAATAGGGACTACCTCAGTGGGAAGGTAACAGCGTTCCGTGTCTAAGTCGCACTGGCCATGTGACCACGGAAGATTGTCTTTGGACAAAACGCTGGCTCCATGGCTTGAAAACGGGGATGAGCACTGCCCCCTAGAGTTGAACACGACTGGACAAAAATTGTCAAGGGGAACCTTTACCTTTACCTTTTCCATTACCTACCAGTAGGCTTCCATGCTAATTTAAAACTGTTGGTGTTAAGTCTAGCCCCTGGTAAAGTCTATAGTTAAAAGAAATGTTTATGAAACTGTCTCTACACACCACTGTTGCAGGTTAGGAGTTTGATTCCCCAGTGTGCCTCCTAGAAGAAAAGCCAACCTGTGTAGGAAGAAGATAGTTCATGGGCTATCCTGAAGAGCTATTATAACTCATTTTTCAGTGTATGCAAAAGGTTGCAGGTTGTGTAACAGACATGTCTGAGACTAGAGTGCCCTGCCTCTGCCACAGGGTTTTACAGAACTAAATGGACAAACAGCCTGATTTTATGTAAAGCAATTTTATGTGCTATTGTAACACTAGAAATATTGGAACCGCCACATTTCTTCTCCAAACTTGACAGACATGGATCCATTTGTGTTTAGTATCAGATTGTATATCAATTGTATATCTTCAAATACATCGACATACTTTCTTCAACATTTTAACACATTTTCAGATTTTTTCACTGAACTACAGTGGTGCCCCGCATGATGACGATAATCCGTCCCACTGAAATCGCTGTTTAGGGAAATCGTTGTCATGTGAAATTCGTTTCCCCATTGGAATGCATTGAAACCTGGTTTAATGCATTCCAATGGGGAAAATACCTCATTGTCCAGTGAAGATTACCCATAGGGAAGCCATTTTGCGAGTACCGATCAGCTGTAAAAATGGCTGCCCTGCGAAGCATGGGTCCGGAAAACACAGGGCAGCCATTTTGCGAAGCCAAAGATCAGCTGTATAAATCGTCGTCTTGTGAACGGACCTAATCAACGTCCAGCAAAATTCCCCCATCGGAATGACTGCTTTGTGAATCGCTATAGCGATCACAAAAAGGCATTGTTATGTAGATTCGTCATTTAGGGTGGTCATCATCTTGCGAGGTACCACTGTACCATAATTCACAAGGTGTACCCTCAACCAGAATCCTAACAGTTGTAGCCAAAGAGTCCACATGTTTCTTCTCTGTAGCCACTGGAGTGAGATAGAGGGTTTTTTAAAAAATACATCCTGAGACTTTTGTCTCCCTTTCATAATCAGATCTATTGGTAGTTTCGAATTCCTTTAGTTTTTCTCTCTGTGAACCTCCAATGCAGATCAGACCAGACAGTCAAGAGAAGGGATGATATGTGAACTAGACTAAAAGTTATTGTGTGTGTTTTATAGAAGGAGCAGGTAGAGTAATTCTAATATATTCTTATGGTATTCTTTGTTCTTCAGATCGTTTTATTCAAAGGATTCAGTTCTTTGACTGAAGAGTGAATTGCAAAAATTCTAGCTGTTGCTAAAATCCGCAGGCCACTTTTAACTGCTTTTTATCTA